CGGCACCAAAACACCACGAGCCGCCATAAACGTCACGTGGAGTCCCCGGCCCGCCGGTCCGCCTCCCGGTTTGGCCGCACAGGGCGCGGCACCTCTCTGCGGCGAAGGGCGTGAGACCGGGCTCTGGGTCCAGCAGGAAATAGGCCAGCCTGTGGCTCCAGCGGCAAAAAGAATCGGAGCAAAAAAGAAACGTGGAGCTTGAAAGACCTGGGAGCTTAGGAGCTCCAAAAAACAGGTTCTGGCTTCACTGCCCTTTTAAACCCCAGGACGCACCGCCCCCACCGTGCGTGGACGAGTGGACCAGAGCGCAAGTGAGAGTAAAAACCCAGGAGGACCCCAAAGGAAGTCACCCCACAACCACCCCAACGAGCCGGGAGCGGGTTTTTTCTGGCTTCACTGTTGCCCCCCCCCCCCCAAAAAAAAACAACAACGCCACGAACGTGTGGGTGTGTTTTAAAATAGGAGAATCCCAAAGGAAGTCCCCCCCCAAAAAAAAAAAACAAAAGTGTCGAACAAGTGGGAATGACATGGGTCCAATCCCATGGATTTTGGTGTTCCTGTTGTTCCTCGCAAACAAACCCCAAAAGTGGTTTGTCAAAATAGGGGGCCACAAAAGGATGTTATATATCTTCCTGTTGTGCCTCTCAAACAAACCCCTAAAACGGTACCTTCAAAACCAGCGGTTTGTCAAAATAGGGGACCGTGTTTGGGGGCCAAACACGGTGGTTGTCCTTTGGTCGCCCTAACATGATAATTAGCCTCAAGCAACACAACCTCATATTATTGTGCTTTTCAAAATTAGTAATTAGCACAAGAAAAATGCTTGATTTAATCAATGGCATACTGGACAACGGCGGGTCCTTTTTCGGCATGGCCCAGCCCCGGCTTTGTTTGTTTGGGGCCAATCAAGCTGAAGAACCGCTTCACATCAGCTTTGGTTGTCTTTCTTTGAGGGTACCCCTTGTTGGGTGTCATCCAAGCTGGTTTCATGATTTCCTGTAAAGTGCCACCGTTACTTCTCTTCGCAGGGATGCCTTCAACTGTTCTGACTGCAGGGATGTGGCCTGCACTGCTCAACAATAGGCCACATCAGAGGGGCCCTTGCAGATGCCAAAGCGACGGAGCATCCCTCACTTTCCAGGCTCAAACTGCCCTCTGCCCGCAACAAAATTGGAACATACCCGATGCACGAACCCGCTCCGAACCCCCAACCTTCCCGACAAATGAGATTCGCGACATTTGGTCAGAAACCATACCTCAAAACAAAAAGACAAACACCAGTAAAGCAAACACCAAACAACAAACCCAAAAAGCAAACACCGACAAACAAACACCAAAAAATACCAGACCTCAACTTCTCTCCTCCCTTCCACCCCCTTCTCTTCGCCAGAGGGCTCGTCGCTCGCCTCCGAAAACGCGGCTTTGAGGCGAAGGCATCCGACAACCGCTTTGGGCGACAGCACCCCAAGGTGCTGCAGCTCCAGTCGCGAGAGGCCCAGCTGGAACCGGTGCCTCGCGCCGATTTTTTTCCCGTGGCGAAAAGGCGCGAAAAGGCGTGGGTAGCTCGTCTTCCCATTTAAGGGGTGGGTTTGAAGGGAAAACTGAAGGGCAACCGCCAATTTTTTTTTTGGGGGGGGGGTTCCCATTTTAAGGCTCACCGAAATAGGAGGGGACCCAAAAAAGGGGTTCGACATCCTGGCCCTTGGGAAAGCAAAAGGGGGTGAAAAACAAGGGAGGCTTCAAAAAAAAACCTGCCTATCCGCAGCTGTTGAATCCCCCCAAGCTGCCGACAAGGCCGCGCCTCACGCGATTCTGCACCATGCCCTGATGGAGATCGTACCTTCGGCTTCCGACCCTCCCTGCAGTGCGAGGGCGGACAGGTCCGTGGGTCCGTGCTTGGGTGTTCGCCAAAGCAAGTTGCAAACCACTTAGATGTGGTGGATGCTTGTTCTTGGGGCAGGCTAACCAAGTCATGGTGACCCCGGCTTCATAAACCCGTCCTGGTTAACGTGGCTGAATCCCCACAGGGACACCCCCCGATCAAATGCCACCTGGGGTTGAACAAAATCCGGGCATCTCCACCTTGGCAACAAACATCCGCGACCCCAAAATGGCGGTTGTCGTTTTGGCTTCCCGTCACAACCGGGGTGCCCTCAAAAACACCAAGTGGGTCAGAGAGAAAGAAGCTGACATCCTCCGCTTCAGGTTGCCCTTGATGATTGGAGGTTGTTGACCCAGGTCGTGATACGCAGAGGAGACACCCTCCAAGCCTCCAAACCGCCAATTCAAAATAGGAAGCAACGGAAAACCGAGATTTCAGGTGTCTTTCTGCAAATTCAAAGTAATTTCCAAACCTGACCCCAAGTAAAGAGCTTTCATCATGTTGAGCGCGTTGTTTTCCAGATTGTCAGCTTTGTTTATCGGTAAGCTCACCATTGACATGGGGCACACGGTCCGCCCGTCGAAAAACATCCGACCGCCCGACCCCTCCGCGCCATCAGCTCTGGTCAGGTTCTTGGAGCGTGAAGGTTGATATGCTGGTTGGACACACTCCCAGTTTGGGCTGGTTGGCCCTGAAAACGAACCTTTGGCAACGGTCTAAATGGGATGCTTACCCCACCCACCAAACAGGAGCCTGAGACGGTCCTCGGGCAAAACGGAGAGAGGGCAAAGGCCGTCGTCGGGAATGCATATCGCTAGTTTGCAGGTATCTGGTCCATGCATTCTGTGAAAGCGCCCCACAAGACTGACGAGCATAAGCTCTTCTTTTGTTCCGTTTGGGTGCCGTACGTTTGGCTTCCAATTGGGCCCCAAGTACGGCCTTCTCATGGGACATGGGTGTGCATCTTGTTGCGGGTACTATTTTTGGGCCGGTTTTTGAATGGGAAACCAAAACCGCCAATGTTCAGGGTCTAAGACAAACCGTGGCGAGGAAACCACCGGTGCCCCCAACCGGTTTGAAGGATTTTTAGGGGTTGAGGCTACGGATGGACAAAATCCAGCAGGTGCTAGGTTTATCGTCTGTGAATGGCATTTTACCCATATGCGGAAGTGGACTTCTCCATCCAGAGAAGGGGACAAAAGCAACTTTCAAACCCTAAACCCCCGACGAAAAGGGCAGGGTATTTAGTAAGCGGTCAGAAAGCCTGGCTATAACCCACTTACCATGGTTCTGAGTCTCCTAAACCAGGCTTACCAACCACTTACTAAGTACCCTCCCTTAAGCACAGCCAACCAAAAATTGCGCCAACATCCCATGATTCAGGGTAGCTTGAGGATTTATAAGGTGGACAGGAAACCGACCATTTCGGGGTGCACAACCCAACACACAACCACAACCACCACCCCCACCACTACCACTACCACCACCACCACCACAGCATTTCTCATGTCAAGTGGCAACCTCCAGGTGCCAGCTTCCTCCATCCAGCTTTGCAAGGCTCGGCCATCTGACGCAGCCCTCCTCCTCGGACGCCCCTTGGAATTCCTCTTGACATGGGACAGTGTGCGAGCAGGAGTCTTTTGTGGGAAAGCTTCGACTCCCGCATGGAAGCTGATTGTTTTTTGTCCTTTTAGAGGGAAACAGCCAAAACCAAGACCAAGTCAGGTTCCATGTGGGGAAAGGAAAAATGGGGGTCAAAGCCACTTACTTGACTCCTGGACCGTCCAAGTAGGGCTGAAAGGGATGAAGGTTTATCAGTTCCATTGATCCAGTCACAGGGAAATGGAACTCACGGACTTCAAGTACATACCGCTTCCCCAATGCCCATTCTTCAGTGCCCGGGGACGCAAACGGCGCTTGGTTGGTTGCTCTTGTCTGTTTGTCTGACCCCCCCCCCCCCGCTTTTCCCGCCCGCCGCTTTTCCCACGCCTTTGTAGCCAGCAAAACCCAAGTTATCAGTCAAGGGAACCCTGGCCCTACCATTTCCCACCGTGTCCACTTCTCGTGAAAAAATGCCTGACGCGAGTTTGAACTCTTGCCCATTTCTAAGAAATCCACGGTCCGTCAAACATCGCATGAGGGAGACAGAACACCGGCATATCCCGCGGCTGTCTGCCCGTGAGGTTCTGAAGGCTTCTCCCTGCGTTTGGTGGGGAGTCAGACCACTGTTTCAGGGGCCCCCACCCCCCTATGAATAAACTGGGTTTTCATTCATATGGGGTCAACAATTAAACCAATAATCAAAAAAAAACATCCTTGACACCCTAAGCCTTGCTCTGGCTCGCCCTTGACCAAGGCACGCAAAGACCTGCAGCACCAGCGTGTAGGACTTCACGCACTCCGGGGCCATGTCCATACCTAGCGATCTCCAGCCCCGTCTCCGGTGGGTCGCTTTAGGGGGAAGCACCGCCTATTCTAAGGGTTGATTCCTGTCATTTCCTGTCATTTCCCCTGTCATTTCCCAAATACCATCCCTATAAACAATCCCCAGGCTCATTCCAACTCATTCCCTGAGCACCATTCTAGAGTTGATTCTAATTCCACTCTTTCCGACCATCGTTATTGTCGAAAACCGGATCCGTTTCCCTGGGTTTCCGGAGGGTTCTATAAAGAAGGAGGCAGCACTAGACCTATTGATAGGATGGGTTTATGAATCCGGGGTCGACATCAACAAGGGGCCCAAAAAGCCGAAACCATGTCTTACTCCTTTTAAGGAGCAACCTCTTTGGTTTCCGTGCGAACCAGCAGGGGGCGCGGCAATCCATATGCGTTGTTTCCCACATCCACGGTAAAATTGTGTCCAAGAGGACACCAGAGGGATCCCATTTTGGAAACCGCCTTTTTGGGGCAAACCCGAGGAGCCACCCATTAGAGAATCCACGTTCGCGGGTTTCCATGTTGGAAGGGAGTAACCCGGTAACCCGATATATATATATAAATATATAATATGTGAGTCCTATCCTGCACCTGAGATGGGTCCGTTGTCCCTTCCAAACCCACCGAGGCCAACCCTTGCACCCAGCTGTTAGATCACTCCATTGACTGCTGGCCATTGACGCCATTGACTGCTGGTCAGTAGATGGTGCCGAATCCCGAACCCGGACTCCCGAATCGCGAATTTCGAATAATTCCAAATTCCGAAACCCGCATCCCGAACCGGAAGTGGGATTTGCTTTGGGGTTGGGATTGGGACTCGGGCTGTGGCAGTCTCGAATCGGATCGCCACTCTGAATGTTTGCAGCCGCAACGGCCCACATCACATCCTCCAGTGTAATCGTGGGGGGGGGGGGGGAACAATGACAAACACCCAAAACCAGCGCAACAAGCACCAGAACCCTCCCCAACCCCCCGAACTCCCGACCCAAAAGCCGTCCAAAAACCAAACCACCCCCAAAAAAAAGCCGCCGCGCCGCGCTACCCGAACCCTCCCTTCCAACACCCCAGGCTTCCCCTTCCTCAGGCGACTCGGACTCTACGACTCACCGCTTAAAAGGAACGATGTGAGGATCGCATCCGAAAAGGAACCCATGTGATCAAACCTCTTCAACAATTCACCCAACTTTGGTATGAATGTTAAAAGTCGGGACCGAGCCACGGCAATTATTGGCACGAAATGGTCGGGTGTTCACGCCAAGCACTCTCCAACCCTGCACCCTTTTGGACTCATTGACCTCGCTTTCCAACCCTGCATGTGTTTGTGCTCTCAACCACCCAAATATCATCCTAGATAGCCAAGTTGCTACTTTGTTCAGTCACTGTTGCTGGTTTTGGGGGTAAAGTGCATGGAAAAAAAAACAGCAACTGGCGATCCAAGATGGCCCTCGGTTTGGCCAATTTCAGTGCCCAAAAAAGCTGCCGCCCGGCCTTCACTGCACTCTTCCGTGAATAAAAGCAGACGCTCACATGAATCCACCCCAAAATGATGTCCACAGGGTCCCGTTTCTTTTTCATCTGCTTGGCGTGTCACGCCAAACCCCTCTTAGAGCGTGGACCCAGATCACGTCACCCTACCGTCGCTCCAACGCGTTCCGCGCGGCAGAAGCTGAGCTTGTTCAGCGCCAGCCACTGTGCACCTCCCCGGCACCCGCTCCCCAGCAGCGCGCCAGCGCCCGCCTCACTCGAGCTTCGAGCGAGCCAGTCCCGCCCTCGCTGGTCCCTGGGTGGTGCGGTGATCCTTCGAACAGTTTGGGTCTGAATGTCTATTAGGGACCCGAAATGGTGGACATCAAGGTGGGGATCCACGTCCAACCAATTTGGAGGGGGTTCCCTATGAAAACTCATAGCCAAATGATTTTGGGGCGGGATCCGCGATCCGTTCCTCTAAACGCCAAAAAGCTACCAGTATCTAACAGCATCTGTTAAGTCTACGCGTATGGAACGCCAAGATCCGTGTAAAAGGGGGGCGTCTGCCCTCTGTTGGGGCTGCAGTGCAAACCATGCTTGGCAGGGAAACGTCTCGACAGGACCAAAAGGGGGAGCCTACATAGTGATTGCGCAACCCCCAAGTAGACTCAGAAGGCAAGCGAACCTGGCTGCAATACGAACGTCGTCCATCTCTTCTTTGCGCTGGACGAATGTGTAGGCGATTTGCACAAGCACGTCCATATGATCCCTCAAACTACCCTCTAAATTGAATGTCGCCCCAAAAACTGCCCTCAAACTACCCTCAAACTACCCTCAAACTATCCTCAAGCGGAGTGAAGTCCCAGTTTGCATGACTGTCTCCGGATGTTGACATCGGTCCGCTCTGAGCTCAACACTGCATCTCCAAAGGACATCCTGACAAGCGTGACGCCGAAGGCCGCTCGTGCAAGCAGACCCGGTGGAGGGGGGGGGGGTTTGGGAGTGTTCCACCACACACCCATTGAAAATTTGGGTTGGTGTGCCTTACCTCTTGGGCACCTTCTGTCTCCCCTTCAACATCCCCCAAGCAGGATACTTAGCCCACTGTAGATGGATACCAACTCCAAAAAAGGCAGCCACCCAGCCACCCAGCCGCCTAGCCACCCAGCCACCCAGCCACCCAGCCACCCAGCCATCTACCCAGTCACTTCGCTTGTTCGTTGCAACAGCCCAGCCTCAGCACCTTGTGTGCCAGCTCGGCGTTGTTGGGATCTTGGGCTGATTGAAACAGCAACGGCCTCGGGGCTTTTCGCTTTGAGCCCGAGGACCACATACGCGTCAAAAGAGGGGGCCCCCCTCTAAATTGGGGGGGACCCTAAACTCCAAACACACGTAGGCCGTAGGCCCCTTAAAGTAGCTGGTGTTCTTGTTGTTTCAACTTCCCACTGGAGAAAAAACAACAAAAAAAAACGCGCCCCCTCGAAAAGGCAGCAGGGGGGAAGGGGGGGATTCTCAAGATGGGAAAGCGATAACGTTTGGTAATCTGTTGGTCCAAACGGAAATATTCCTTTGTGTTTTCTTTCGGGGGCTAAAATAGAATCAGTCCGAGCATGGGGAGCCAAAAAGGGAAACCGCAAAGCCACCTGAGGTCTGCCCCCCTACATTGGAAGATACCCCCCGAAACACACAGGGAATTGCCAGGGTGAAGAAGAACACGGAGAGGGTGTGGATTTGCACAGGCCATCAGGAATGCAAAAGGCTTGGGCAAAAATCCCACATCAACCTGCACCAGGTAAAAAGCAGGTGCTTGGTTTGGGACCATTCCACACAAACCATTGCATTGGGCGGGCATTCAGTTCATAGAGACCAGCTTCCACGCTACCTTTCTGCCAGAAGTCCCGCACGCAAGTCTTCAAGTCTTCCAGCCCCAAGACTTGAAAAAAGGGGGTGTGGTCTCCATGGGGTGCCCGCAAAAAGCTTGGCGTTTCACGCCAGGTGTCCCTTTCCCAACCCAAACGCTGGGCTTCAAAGGAAGCCACCCATGGGTCACCTGAGGCCACGGCCAGTCCAAAGCACCTTCCACCTGGAGGCTTCCGGCGTTTGCGGAGGGGGGAAATGGCTGCGGCACCCCAAAAATGGGTTGCCCAGGCAAGTGGAGGCATGGACCGAAACCTGCGGTCCAAGTCCTGGTTTAATTGTTTGACCCATACCCAAATGAATTGTCTGGGAATTTTAGGGGAATCTGCTCGGTGGTGGACATCCTTCCCCACCTGGACATCAAAGGCTTCGGCACCCATTGAATTTACACAAGTTTGGGTGTATCAAGTTCAGGGGGCCCAGAAAAACCATGCCGAGCCGCTGTTTCGACTTCAAGCTTTCGAAGGAAAAAAACGTTCTGTCATGTCATCTTGCAAAAGCTGGGTCCTCCAAAACATCGACATTTCCAGAGCGGCTTCCATGTTGATCTTTGCATTGCTGGAGGCCCACACGATCCAACGCGCCGCGCAACCTCGCCTCGCGCCTCTTGGCAGGCTTCGGAGTAGAGTTGGCGCAAGGCGGCCGCCACCCTGTGCAAGAAGCCATCAACCCGTTCAATCAGTTCTAAATGGGTGTGGCTCAAAATGAAAAAGGAGGGGTTACGCAGGTTTTGGTCCATGTTTCCACTTGCCAGGGTTCCATTTTGGTACCGGTTTTTTGAGCCACAGCCAAATGGGTTCCTTTTGGATGCGATCCCTTGACAAGCCATGGGAACCAACTCGCTCAGAGCCTGAGGTTGTGGGGTACTTTAAACCAAGTTTAGACGTGATGCTGGGACTCGCTCCTTTGGTGTCACCTTCGAACATCACCCACCAAAAGGAGACTCACTTTCAAGTGGCCGTCCTGAAAGATGTTGAAACCATCCGAAAGGGAAATGCAAGAAGGGGTCCCGGCCAAATCCTACCAGAACAACCTTACCTGCTGGCTTGTTTTCAACTCTGTCCGATTGTCCTTTCTCAAGAGCTTTTTCCCGACAAGGTGGTTTCCTTTGGGCGTTCTTTTTCGCTACGCAGAGAATTTGGTTCCGAGCCCTGGTGATATGTTTTGTGGGGTGCCACTCAGTAGCCAAGACGTCACATGATTGGCTCGGCCAAAACGTCTGGAGGAGGCCAGGTGTTTGGGCCTAATGCAGCCTGGACTCTCGAACCCTAGAAAGGGTTGACATCCTCCGGGCAAGAATCCTGGCATTCCATGAGGGTTCACCGCAAGCCACACCCACAGAGCCTCAAATGAACCATTCGCAGCGGGGCCTGGTTCAGGGAACCCTCTTAACCCTTTTCAACCAAGAAGAGTTCCTGGGATGCAAACATGAGTAAACCGTTCTGTAGAACTCGCTGAGTCCGGATTTCTGCGCAATCAAACGGAAAGCCGCAACTAAAGAAGACCCCGAATTTCAAATGTCCCCCGTTTGTCACCGAAATTTCAAACATCGCCCGCCAAAAAGAAACTCACCTTCTCGCCTTCCAACAGGCGATGTGCAAAACCGCTAGCCGAAAGAAACCTCCAGCTCTCGGGTCACGGGGCAATAGGATTCCAACCGCCGAAAGAAACCTCTCCCAGCTTCCCCAAAAAGAAAGCCGCGTCTAAGGAACTCCAATACGACCGTGGAAAATCATCGTCCTTGTGATGCCAAAGTAGGCCATCACTTCGTCACAAATGGAAGGGGAGTTTGTCCTACCCAGTTGTTCACCATGCGCAAGCATGTTCAACCAACTAACTAGGTTATACCTATAGTTTTCTTACCTGGGGAAACTCGGGTTCCCCTGAGAAGAATCCGTGGTCTTGACCTGCTTAAGTGGCTTCAACGCACAGGTGCCCACATAACTCTCCAAGCTCTCCACTTTTTGCCGACCCCTTGGGTTGCCCTGGTGAATGGAAACATGCGTAACCCTAGCGCTTCTTTTATTTTTAAGCCACGCCCATTTTGCGTAGGTCCAAATCCTAAGGAAAAGCCGAGCCAAGTCGCCTGCTGAGATGCAGCAGCAGCTCCATCACCGGCCACTCCGTCGCCGACATCCGCACCACGTCCAACGCGTCCCCACGGAAGGCCTCGTGGACGACTTGAAAAGTTGATTGTTTTGGTTTCGTGTCTGTTTGGAGTCATTTTAAAAACGCAATTTGCTCTTGTTTGCTATGCTTGTGTGCTTTTCGTTGCCCTTTGAATCCAGCCAAAGCTGACTGCTCTCAGTTGGTGTGCCTTTGACTGGGCCGTGCTCATCTGAATTCGGGTGGCTCATGAGAATTCGCCAAGGAAAAGTATCAAACCCCTGCGCAATCCCACCCCCCCCACCCCCTCCTACATCTGTGAGGTTGTGGCTTGTCCCAGAAAAATGGGGGAGGCCGCTGACGCGGCATCTTCAAAGATCCGCGGAATGAACAGCCACTTCTGGCCAGAGTAAAACAAAACCATCCAAATTGTCTATGAATGATCCCTTAGAGGGTGTTTAAACCAAGGCAAGTGTTTGAACAACTCAAACATGTCATGGTCAAATCCCCCAAAAGTGTGAGCCGGGGCAAATTCCACATTAGGGTTTTGGGTTTCCCTGGAAACCGTGCTGAAAAGGTACCCTCACAAAGATACGCCCCCATTTGACCATCCCTCTAACCCCAAGTCAATGCGTCTTTTCGGGCAATTGGGTGTTTGCCAACGCGACCAAGCCCGGAAAACACTCCCCAGGTGAAATGGACTCTTGAGGTAACATACAAATCCAAAACAGGCTCAAAGCAACAAACATATCACAGTGCAATTAAGGGCCGATAATGGGTAATGAAATTATTGTCTTCCTTCAAAACCAAGAAAGGGGGGGTCCCAAAACAGACATACCCTACTGGCTACAACCTTGTATTCGCAAAACCCAGCTTTTTCCAGGAAAATTGCCCCCTTCCTCAGTCAAGACTAGAAGTAAGGTATTTGCAGTGGGGGCTGCTCACCTAGTGCGTTCAAGTCGCCTGGGCGAGATGGTCCCAGTACTTCTGGCATCCATCTCCTCCAGACAATATGCACAGCAGCGCTTGCGCAACCTCAGTCTCCAGTGCATGTGCTTTTCGTGGCTAGGACTGCAAAAGACCCCTCACAGTGGTCGGTGGACACAAGTGGGCTCCATTTCCCAAAAGCGGTTTCCTCTACAAGTGGTATTTTGGACTTCCATGTTAGTCTGCAAGGGAGTAAATCCCCATCTGGCAAAGCGTCCAACCACTTAGAATTCACATGAAGACCCTCAACATCTGCTTGCCCAGGTCCATCTCTACAAAAGGCGCTCAGCCCCGACCTGCAGGGGTTCTCCCTCTGAGGTACCGCGCTCGCGCCGGCTCTTTCCCTCATATTGTGCTTGTCACAGCTGAGGGGTGGTGCTCGCACATTACTTCCTTACTTACTTACTTACTTACTTGCTTGCTTACTTACTTACTTAATTACTTACTTACTTACTTACTTACTTACAGCCTTGAAGCTCCAAACGCGGCGCGATGCCAAGCTCCAAGCAGCTCGATTGCCCCGCCCCCCGAATCCCCAAAGCCACCTCGGTGCAATGCCGGAGTAGCCTTTGAGCAGGAAGGAGCAGGTCATTACCTCTCTCAAAATTTCATCAGAGACATCCCAACCCCCAGCCCCAACCCCCCAAGACCATCCAACTTCCCGAACTTCCGCCACGCCGCCGCCAGCGCCAGCCGCCCCACGCCGCAGTCCAAGCTCCGGGGAAAGCTGCGGCTCAGCCGCCGCAGCAGGCCCCGGCCGCCCTCCTCTGCGGGAGTCACGCTCCGGAATCATCAGTTCCTTGACCCCCGCCCCCTTATCCTTTTCTTGACCCCCCCCCCCATTTATTTTATGGCTTTTTGCCCGCCCTCTTCCCTTTTTCGACCCCCCCCCCCCCGGAGGTTGGAAAAAAAGAAGGGGGGGAAGAAATAATGGGGGGTGCCAAAAAAAGAGGGAGCCCTCACGCTCTTCAGGCACCCGGGCTCTCATTTTTTATCGAACCAATGGGAGATGTTCAAACCAAGTCACAGGGTTTAATACGCCTGCTCTAAAAAAGGTAGGTGCCTAGACAGCCTAAAAACTCGTACTGTTGGAAAAGAGAAAGAGCAGCGACTCGCGATCCAGTAGCATGTGAGGCCCCTTTTGAATATGGGTTGCGAACGCCCTGGGATTCCCTTGATACTTTGCTGCTATGGGTTTCGAGGTACGCGTGAACATCTTAAATCCTGAACGCCAAACCTGTCAACCCACCGGTGACGTTTGCAGGCTGTCGCTGCAAAAGGGTCCCGAAAAGCAAAAGCTGAGTAGGGCTACCATCCCCTTTGATGCGTGGCTTTTGAGGGGCACCCCACACCTGGGTTTAGAAGGGACACCTGGGCAAACCCGGCATCGGGGTCTCCTGTCCAAAGTCCTCCCCAAATCTGCCGCCCTCCAGCGAGTTGGAGAGCCTCGGAATAGACGAAAGCCAAATGCACTCAGCACGGAATGCCTCCAAAAGGCGGATTCTCCGTGGTCCTTCCAAACTCCCAAAACGAAGCGCCTTCAAAAAAGGGGTCGAACTAACCAAGTGCAGGGTCAGAGCTCCGACCAACGTGGTTGATTCCCATCCCTATGACTACTCTGTCACTGTTGAGGGGATGCCCAGCTGTGGCAAAAACAACCATGACTAAAGGTGACGGTTTAACCTAACCAAAGACAAAATATAGGGAACCCTGATCAGAAGAAAAGATCCCAAAGCCCAAAGCCTCAGCAAATTGCGCCAGGGCACACTACCAGCTCCTCCCTCAGCCTCTGCCAGTCAGTGTGCCCTGGTGAGTCGAGGGTCGCTTTCCCCTCCACCCAACTAGAACCAGGATGGGCGATTCAACCCCTTTCAAAGAGAACTCGCCGCAGACACCCTCCTTCAAACAAAAACCTGAGAAACTCATGTGGCTTTGCAAAAAGCCTGAAACCTCATGAGAGTTTGAAACTTTGCGACGTGAACACCCGACCTCACCCCACCCCACGCCGATTTGGGGAAAGTCGGGGGCCGTCTGGGTCCACATGAGCAGGTCTCAAATGGCCACACCACCAACCTTGCTTGCCCGCGGGTCGATGGGGGCCCCCCGTGCGCGACCCACTTATAGGTTGCACCCAATGTTGGGTAACAAATTTGACCCCACTACCCCAGGCATTTGCTTTAATGGCTGGTGGGTAAATACCCGCATTTCTCTTTTTGCAGTGGTGAGTTGGGGGGGAGTGAAAGCCCACCAAGAAAACGATCTCAAGAAAGAGGGTCAGACTTGGACCCCGGCTAAAAGGTTCTCCTTGGCACTGCCCTTGAGCCTCCAAACAACATGTGGTTTCTGTTTGGACTGCCAGCATTCAGGTTAGCCCACTCAAGACCCAACGAAAGCCATGGGTTCCTTGTATGTGTCCAAGAGCAGGGTTCCTTCAAGGACACATCCATAAACCACACGCCATCCTCAAAGACAGCTGGTTCAGGTTGACTGGCCCAGATGGATCCTTGGCAACCCTGAACTGTGTCCGGTTTTTGGAACTACCCTTCTTCTTCGCGGCTGAGCCCTGGAAACGGATGCAATGCATCCACATCGCCTCAAAAAGAAAGGAACTACCCTTCTTCGATTGTTAAAAGGGAGGCCGAAGGGAAGCCTTTCAAAAAACAGCCTAACATGTATCCTTCCGCGGGCAGGCCTGGCACCCGATGGCAGTTCACGTCCTCGCTCGGATCAGCCAAGAGTGGCCATGTTGTTGGAAACCAAAAGAAAATCAAGAAGCGACGGAAAACCACACGACATGGCCATGGGTCACGTTTGATGTACCCCCAGTGAACATCCCAATCCCCACTAAAATAGGTTCTAAAACGGGTAGTGCACCTACCCCAACATGGTGCCATTGGTTTTGACAACCAGCCACATCACAAAGGACTCGAACAGAAAACAAACCCCTGGGAACCCTTGAGCTGGAAATGGAAAGCCAGATAAAAAGAATCGAAAGCGACCACCCAAACCGACCTGGGAAAATAATGGAAGGAATCCAAAGGAACCCCTCCGCTTTTAGGAGAATCTCTGTTCAGGGGCAGGACCTTCTGAGGCTGAAAAAGCCAATTCCAAGGGGGGAACGCCAAACCACCAGACCCCCGCGACAAAAAAAAAAAAACGCCATTCACGGCCAAACAATCAACCAACAGCAAAAGAAGGCAACGTCTTGGGCGAAAAGGTGAGCGTGCTGGTTCAAAGCTTAAGCTTAGTTGCTTGTTCAGACATAGGAACAACAGAACAGACTTGAGGACCATGATCTAAAGGAAAGCCCGCCGGAGTCACAACCCCCATGGCCGAATTCTGCAAGTCAACCAACCAACCAACCAACCAACCAACCAACCAACCAACCAACCAAGCAACCAACCAAGCAAGCAACCAAGCAAGCAAGCAAGCAAGCAAGCAAGCAACCAACCAACCAACCAAGCAAGCAACCAAGCAAGCAAGCAAGCAAGCAAAAGCAAGCAAGCAAGCAAGCAAGCAAGCAAGCAAGCAAGCAAGTCAACCAACCAACCAACCAACCAACCAACCAACCAACCAACCAACCAACCAACCAACCAACCAACCAACCAACCAAGCAAGCAAGCAAGCAAGCAAGCAACCAAGCAAGCAAGCAAGCAAGCAAAAGCAAGCAAGCAAGCAAGCAAGCAAGCAAGTCAACCAACCAACCAACCAACCAACCAACCAACCAACCAACCAACCAACCAACCAACCAACCAACCAACCAACCAACCAACCCCCAAGCAAGCAAGCAAGCAAGCAAGCAAGCAAGCAAGTAAGCATTGAACCCGCAAGCACCACCCTCTTCCCCAGTCTCCTTTTCCCTTTCCCACAAAACCTGGCGGACTGAAGCGTCCTCGAACACGGCCGAGGCCTCCGAGGGCAGCGGGGGCCGGCAGCAGCGCTCGTAGGTGAAGCTGTGGCCGTCCTGAGGCTCGCGGGAAGTCAGCAAGAAAAATGAATCAGCAGACAAGCATCTGAATCTGGAAAAATCTCGTTCCCTGAGTTTGAGTCTTGGGCACGTTTGGGGCTTGGACTATTTTGGTGGCGGACCGCGGGGGCAGGCTTGTTTTGTCAGCCCGGCTGATGGGAACGCGATTAGATAGCCCCGCAAGCCGGGGCTGAATTGACTTGCTGGTTCTCGGAACGGAATCACTTTGGGGTTTTGGGAATGACCAGAGATGCCTTGAAAGGAAGCCACGAGGTCACCCGCATTCCTCTGAGAACCAGCAAGCAAGAAACATGCGAAGTTCGGCAAGTGGGCGGCTTTAAACACCGCTGGGTGCGAGATCATGCGAGATCAAAGGATGGGATGTTGTTGCATAAGGGGAAAACCAAAAGCTGGTTCTTCCCCACCCGACAGGTTTGGGGTTGGATTTCAGTGACATCGATTCTCATGCACAGCTGTTGATCCGAGTTGACAGCTGTGACAATTTGGCTTGACCTTCGTGCCTACCTATAGCTGTGCATTTTTTGGGGGGGTTCGTTCCCTTTTTGGGGTGGGACTTACACGGAAAACCACAGAAAAACAAACGCCATTTTTTGGGGGGGTCCCCCCCCAAAAAAAAAATCAGTCAGGCCCACTTGCTAGGAGTTGTGACCACCCTGTTTCTCGGGTCTGTTGGAAGCCACCGGTGTCATTCCCATCACTTCCATCTCTACATCTACTGAGACCTAGGCCCTGTAGGTGAGCCACTTTGGAGACATCCGCGGTACATCTACTTCTTTGGATGAAACGGGAAAATTGGGCATCTCCGTTCTTTCCATGCGAAAACAAAAAGGTCAACAAATCCCTATACTGCTGGCCAAGCATCCCAGCAAGACGGCTCTCCTGGCGACACCCGATGCCAATGGGCAAAGGGAAAGCCACTCAGAAGCTGCGGATTGCCATGCTTTTCTGGGCGCACGCGTGTTGACAGGTTGCGTGCCCAATCGCCTTTGCATTTGGTCCCTATATTCCCACTGAAAAATATCCCCCCCCCCCCCCCCCGGTTAGATGGGCGTTGAAAACCGCCAAAACTGGAAATGTGGGGAGCCCTGTTTGAAGTGGGTCTACAAAACACGCCAAATTCCAAGCGCGGTGGGGAGTCCGGGCCCATGGAAGATGCATCTCAATTGACAGGCAGATTGCACATGTAGTTTGCAGGTTCTCCACAAGTCAAGCAGACCAACAAAGCAGAAACCAACAGAAACAATCCTCGCGCCAACAACAGGGAAAGCGCGCAGACCTTCATTTGGCTGTGGGTCAAAAATAGGTGCTCAAAATGGGTTGCCCTGGTAAATGGAAACATGGACTAAAGTATGCGGTCCACATCCTGGTGGTTTTACTTTGACCCACACCCATTCTCCTTGGGTCCACCTCCGAAAAAAAGAAGAAGAAAAAAAAAGCGCCGAGCCAAAGTCGCAACCCCACCATTTAGGGGGGAAGTGGGAAAGCCCTGCTTAACCAGAATGATTTGAGCCACGCTGATTTGCAGCTGCCCCCCCCAAACCCCAAACCCTGGGGCTTGCCTCCCGCCAGCGCGCGCGTGCAGCAGAACTTGAAGGTAAAGCCCTCGCGCCAGCATGACACCGACCTAGCAAGAAGGAGTTGGGCGTGCTTCGTTTTTTCGAGGCCCTCGCCCCAAAAAAAATGAGAAGGAAAGACAAACAATATATGTATATGTATATATATATATATATATAATAGTAATTGAAACCAGGCAAATTGGTACCCTCAAAAAATGATGCACCCAAATACCCAGGAAAACAAGGGGGTTGGCAAGCTTCCTGTAGAAAATCGCTGTGCCTGCGCCCTGAAGAACATTCCACAGGAAGTGGGTATATATGTCATTCTTCGGGTACACCTTAAAAGGAACGCCAAACTCTAAGAAACCAAATCATCACTGAGGTCCGAAACAAAAACAATCAAGTCGGTGGGGTCGATGCTGCCCAGCAACCGTTTGCTTAGAAAGAGTCTGAACCACTTCAAAATTTGGAAACCACGTTAGAGCAATGTCCCAAATTGGCTTATAAATAACAACCAAAAAGGGGGTCCATTTTGAGACAATGATCAAATTCCAGGGGGGCACCACAGAGGTCATTCTTCACACCTCCCATGTGAGCCGAAGCGCGTCCGCAGGAAGTCCATCGATCATGCCGAATCTTTGGGCACATCGGGACAGGTTTTGGATGAAAAGGCTTGAAATCACGTGCTGAAAGGGCAGCTGTTAATTTATCATGTGAACATTGGAACAGGAACGCCAAGAACAAATGCACTGATAAATGGCAAGGAGCCAAACAAGAACTATGCTAAGTGTTTGTCTGTTTTAGCGCAAACTGATTGTTTCCCGTCGTGGGCCGTTGACGCTGGTGAAATGTGCCCCGCAAAAGTAAGCGGCAAAGCGATGAGCCCAGTCACTCCTGCAGATCTAAGTGGCGACGTGTCCAGATATGCTTTTCAGGGCCCGCATCATTGAAGCTGAAGCGAACACACATGAAACCGAAAGGCTGTGTGTGGGCCACTAACTTTTTAGGCACGGTCTCAAGCTGCGTCATGGGGAAAGCCTTTTGCTCTTGAACCCCGCTGTTTTGGAACTGGAGCAGTGCTGCGCTGCAACTTTCGGGCAGTCTGGCCAGCGATGTAGGCCTCGGGGCTTGTGCCTATTGGGTGCCTGCAGCAAGAATGGGCCGGCAAGTGATGCGAGCCGAGAGCCTGTGCGCGCGCGCACGCGGAGAGAGATAGAGAGAATGTTTGGCCGCCCAAGCGCCAATGGTTTCGCGCTGTCTCACTTAGGAACGTGTTCGAAGTAGGGCTGCGGACCCCACACGGCTGGCTCTGAGGACCCTCTGCCCAATACTGCAGCCGCCATCAAGGCCACGCATGGGAAAGGGTCAAACAAAACGCGCCGGTTCCGAGTGTGGAAACACGAAACAAATTGGTGGAAACCACCCTCAGTGTTGGGGTTCCCTAAAAAAGACACACCCACATGACTGCCAGGTTTTTGCTCAATGAGTGATTTCTCAATAAGAGTAGTCTTCAAGTGGTTTGCTTGCAAGGGCGGCTGTAGAGGCTTGCCAAGCCCCGGTTCCCAAAAAGAAAATGTGTCGCTGTCAAAACCTGGGGTCAAAAGGTCTATCCGAAGCCCATGTTCTCGCCGCACCTGTTTAGGTCGAGGGTCTGCCAAACGGTTTTGAGGAAGTGGCACACATTCGCACCCATTCGCAGGCCCTTCTTTTGTCACATGCATCCGCAATTTCCGCACTTGTCTCCACGTCCTGCGCAGGACTTGGCGCAGCTTGCCGTCTTAGAGACCCTAACAGCATCAGGGTACCTTGGTGCACCTTTGCAAACCTCTCACCAATTCATCCACCTGGGGATCAAAGAGCAAAGTGAAATTTCGAGTTCCGCGCCTGCGCCATGCGTGGAACTCACCTGGGCGTGTCAGCTCAAGGGGCTTAACTCACCTGGACGCGCCTGGCCATGTCATTTTGTCGACCCAAGAGGTTCATGTTGTAAACTGACTTGCCGCTCAAAGAAACTGACCGGTCAAAACAGAGACCAAAATGACCAAGATCACAGCAGCCACCAGCCGCCCCGGCCCCAGCATCCCATGCCGTTCCTTCCCACTTTTCTCCTCGCGCCGAAAAGCCGATGCTTTGAGCATGGGATCCGCAAGCTTCGCTTCGCAGGCAGCGCGGGAGACCTTTAAAATCGGATCGGATGACCAGCGCACCCAGGTTTTTTCCCCTTCCTCCCGAGGGAAAAGAAGTGCGATCCCGGAAGGAACACAAGGCCCCAAGACGAATGGTTGGCCCTTCGATGGCCCCTGGGTTCGCCTGGGTTCCATTTTTCAGAGTCTGTCTCGGCACTGGCAGACTCACGCCAATGCTTTACCAAGGATTTGTTCCTTGTCCCCCCACCCAAAAAAGGAGAGAGAGACATGGCTCGAGCGAACTCCGAACTCCGATCCGATCGCGTCCAGCTCAGCGACCCTTGAGATTCTTCATGGTCTTCTGGAGCTCCGACGCGCTCCGCGAAATCCAGGTCGAGGAAATCGGATACCTGCCGATAAAACAATAGAAAACGCCGGCGCCAGTGGAAAAGAAAAACATGGGAGTGCCAGCGGCAAAATGGGTCCAAGTCTTCCCATATGGTGAGGGCGGGTTAAACATCTTGTGAGGTGGCATTCAAAGGCATAAAAAGGAATCCTGCTTTTTGAAGCTTCCTGCCTTGGGGACCAACCCTGAAAAGGACGGAAGACAACCCCCGTGCTCCACAGTTTCAGCCCTGACTAGGTGGTTTGCAATAGAAATTTGGAGGTGGTTCCTCTCATTTAGATTCGATGCCTGGGGAAAGAAACCCCCAAACCACCAATCCAAACCGCCATTTAAAAGTATCAGGCCTTTCGGACAGTCCTGTGTGACCCTTGCGACCGGAATTCGCCTCGGGGTGAAAAGCACCTAAGCAGCATCAAAAAAAGCGACAATTGCGCCACCCTCACAGCAGGATTCGGACGCCTGAAAATGGGGTGGCTTCCTGTTGGTTTCCTTTTCAAGTTCTCGCCAACCAGAGCCATCATCGGCATAGCCTTCGTTTCCTTTGGATCTGAACACATGGTTCATTCTCACCAGTCTGAAGGCTCGAAATTCACCTAGGCCTTTGGCCGCTTGGCCCCAAGCTTCGGGTTCACTTGGGCGAGTTGGTATCCTTCCACCATTCGCGCCTGGGCGGTCGAATCTTTGCGGGGTAGAAGCCCAGGTCGTAGGAAGTGATGGGCGGCCCCTAGCGACGGAGTCTCAAAGCTGTTCCAAACCCCCGCGCCCCCCCCCCCTCCTGGGCATCTCAACACACCCAGAGAGCCCATCCGTTTTCAGAATCTCGGCATCAAATCCCCCTTGCACCCCCAACCCTTCCGGCATCTCGACATACCCAAAGAGCCCATCCGTTTTCAGAATCTCGGAATCTCCGAGATGAAGAAGCCTTTCGAATCTTCATCTACCCAGGCGCTGAAACGAAGACTGGAGGAGCAACAACGTGCCAAATGGGATTGGGGGATGGTACAGTTCTAGCAGATGGGCCAATCCTTGTCTATGATACTGTTTAGTGATTGATTCCCATCCAACAGTGACTCCAACCGCGACTGCGTTGTCATCCCCCCCAAATATAAAAAGTGACAACCAAAGAAAGTCAGAACATGTTGCACCCCGCCGCCAAAGACGGAAACCTCCCAGAAAAGTGGCCTCTCTGAAGCTACTTGGTGCTTCCACTGGGCCAACTTTCGCCTTAGGAAATGAGCCCGATGACCCTTGGGGTCTGGTGTTCTTGGCTCCTCTTACCAACTTAGATAGGTTCAGCAGTGGTATCAATGGTATCTGGGGCAACTGGGGTTGGTGCTCGAAGAAAAAGACACATGGTTCTAAGCTACTTACTGAAGTAGCCCGAACACCCAAGAGGCAAAAAAATAAATAAGCTCAAGCGATATCCCCAACAGCACCACACCCCCCACAATCCTCGCGGAACGCCCCGCGACCGGTTTTGTTGAGGATGCCGCGTTGTAACTTTGTAAAGCAAAGCTAAGAGTGACGGCGCAATCGCGCCCTGATTGGGGCCCGACGGCGCAATGGGGGCCCGATCGGGGCCCGACGGCGCAATCGGGGCCCGATCGGGCCCCGACGGTGCAATCGGCCCAACAACACATCGCCCGACCTGTGCCCGGTGAACCTCGCAAGCCGTCCTCGTTGAACCCTCGTGGAACTCAGCGTGAAACTTTGTTGGAACGTTTCCTCAGGGCTGCCCCATAGCTTTTGCAGAACCTGGTGGAAACCTCGTGGAGCGTTTTTGGAACCCAAAGCCCAAGTAATACTCAGTAATGCCAAGCATTCACTTTGCTGCACAGTGAGAGTCCCGCAGCAACGTGATCTGATTTGCAACAATGCCAACATTTCAGGCCGCATTGCCTGAAGAAGTGAGCAAGTCTGAGCAAGTCACAAAACATTGAAAGTGTGCTGAGAACCATGAACTTCGGTTTTGCTTAGTGTTCCGCCCATGAGCAAGGCGATCTTCTAAGCAGACGGGCGCACGACACAGTGTTTTTCTTTAGGGCAAACCATGGAACCTTGCGGAACCTTTGCGGAACCTTTTGGAGCCTTGTGGAACCCTTGTGGAATCCTCGCGGAACTCTGTGGAACCCTTTGAAACCTTACCTCGCCCCGGACCATCCCACACCCCTCGCAGAACCTCGACCGCCCCGCAGCCCTTGCAAAACCTGGTGCAACAATGGTGGAACCCTGGTCGAACTTTGGCGGAGCTTTTGTGGAACCTTCTCAAACGTTTAACCCTGGCGGAATTACCTCAAATCACCCTTGCAGAACCTGGTAAACTTTGGTGGAACTGTCGTGGAACCTTACACCACCCCGGACCACCCCGCAGCCCTCGCAGAACCTGGTGGAACCCTGGTGGAAATTTCGTGGAACCTTGCCTCAAACCACCCCAAACCACCCCGCAGCCCTCGCAGAACCTGGTGGAACCCTGGTGGAACCCTCGTGGAACATTACCCCAAGCCACCCCAGACCAGCCCTCGCAGAACCTGGTGGAAGCCTGGTGGAACCTTACCTCAAACCACCCCGCAGCCCTTGCAGAACCCGCTAAAACCCTGGTGGAACCTTCGTGGAACCTGACCTCAAACCACCCCGGAACCCCCCACAGCCCTCGCAGAACCTGGTGGAACCCTGGTGAAACCCTCGTGGAACTTTACCTCAAACCACCCCGACCACCCCGCAGCCCTCGCAGAACCTAGTGGAACGCTGGTGGAACCCTCGTGGAGCCTTACCTCAAACCACCCCAGACCATCCTGCAGCCCTTGCAGAACCTGGTGACCCTGATGGAACCCTCATGGAACCCTCGTCTCGTGGAACCTTACCTCAAACCACCCCGGACCACCCCGCAGCCCTCGCAGAACCAGGTGGAACTCTGGTGGAACCCTCGTGGAACCCTCGTGGAACCTCACCTCAGGGCCGCCCCGGACCACCCCGGACCCTATCTGGGCTGAGACCCCAAAGCTTTCAGCTGTTGGGGAAAAACATCTTTTTGCGGTGCCTTGTTCTGGTCGAACATCACGCCGGGGCTGTTCGGGCACCGCGCGTGCTTTTGCCTGACGTCAACTCTTGCATCCCCTGGATATACGGGTATTGATCCAATCTAGGGACCCTCCTGTGGACATCATGTGTCCACACAGGACATCATGTCGGGGATTTATGTCCGCAACGACTTGGGAGAGTATTCCTCAGTTGTTTAAAGTCATGGCCACAGTCTCGTTTCGATTTGACCAACCCTTTGGAGTCATCTCCGGGAGTCTCCAGTTTGTACAAACTTACCGTGCTCTGAACCAGAAAGGGCAGCATGTGCAGGACTCTTAGACCTACCACCAGAGGGACTGTTGCGTGCAGGGTCCAGGAGCCAAAATAAGAACCGATGAAATCATGGAACCCCCCGCACTCCATGCCACTGCACGTCATTCCCCGCGGCATGTTTTCACCCAAGGATACAGGCGTTGGCATTTCGGGTCGATGCCAAGAACAAAAGAAGCCAAGCAAACAAGCAAACAAGCAAACAAGCAAACAAGCAAACAAGCAAAACCGAATGATGCTACCAAAGCCAACAAGAAAGAAAATTGAGAGGAAATCACACCCGCTCGCCTCCCCCAGAAATGAAAAAAGCCCTTCTGCTTAGGTCCTTAGAGTTCTGAGGACCGAGAAAACGACGCGACACCAGGCATTGTCTCAAAGAAAGTTGGTAGTTTTCCCATTGCCCCTTTTCAAGAGCTAAAAAGCAAGAACGCAAAGAACAGCACAACCAAGCGCCTCCCACAAAACAGCTGACACGCAGAAACTGATGTGCCAAATATACCTCCCATGCTTGCAAACTGTGGGGGGCTAGCTGGCACCAAACAAAACCAAGGGGACCCCTTTCCCCACCCCAAGCCTGCGAGAAAACAAACAGGTTGGGGCAGGAAAAAAAGAATAGGGGTAGGAGGCGTCCTTCTTTGACCCAGAGGCAGCCCAGCTTGGTAGAAATGAGTCTCAGAGGTTCAAAGGACCCAGAAATACATGGTGATCACCTTTGGGGCCCCCAAAAGTGGAAACCGTGGAAACCCAAAATAGAAAACCCAGCAGCTCAGATCAGGTCGATTCGCGAAACCGGGCAGAGTCAAAACGTGAATCAGTGTAAGAACCCACAGAAAACCGGCGCTGAGCGCCTGTGATCCATCAGCATCGAGTAAGAGGAGTATGACCCGCCTCGCTATGGGCAAGGCCCCGTGAGCCACGGCTTAGTTGGTCTCGCAGGGGATAGGGGTACCGTGTCTTCAAGCCGTGGGCCAGTGAGATGGGATATGGGGTGTCTTCATGTGGAACTTGCCTTTTGGTTTCCTTCTACAACCATCTCACAAAGGGCACCCTGAACAAGCACACACCCATATGGATGAATGTTCAGTATTCCGCCTAGCTGATTGGGGGAGGAACCAAAACCGCTTGGGGGTTGGAAAAACAGGCCGCGGGCAGGAGAAAACGGATGCCCTTTGTTCACACCAGTCACAAGCCAAACCTGGTATTGAAGTCACATCCATGCAAAGAAATCAAAAGTGCGGATGTCCGCACCCATGTGAACTGTCCCCTCCCTCCAACTCCCCCCCCAACTAAATCCTGTTGTAGATGCGTATACCTGCACATGTGTGCATCTGCAAATACTACATGTGGGTGTGTGTGTGTGTGTTGTAAATACATCTGTACCTGCAAATGTGTGAATCTGCAAAAGACTACGTGTGTGTGTGTGTGTATATGTTTATACCAAACTTAGGTGGGTGTCGCTCAAAATTGAAGAGCCAGGGTTACGCAAGGTGCAATTTTGGTACCACTGTTTTGAGCCACACCCAAAATGGGCGCACACCATGGGGCTTCCGTGGAGCAAAATTGGGGGCCGAGGCCCCCCGCCCACCCATGTCTTGGGTTTGCTGGCTTTCAAATCCCATCGATGCCTCGCTCAGCCAGGTCCACTCCGGCCACCGACCGGCTGCGGTCCTCTGCCCAGGGGGCTCCTGACTCGCGCACTGGGGCGGGTGCATGGGTGTGTATATGATATACGTATGTGTATATATATATATATAATGTATATATGTATATAATGTATATATATAATGTATATATATATAATGTATATATATATAATGTATATATATATATAATGTATATATATATATATGTATTCAATATGTGTTACACATATACATAAAATGTGTTTTCCATGGGTGTGTGGGTGTGTGTGTGTGTGGGTGTGTTGTTTTCAGGACAGCCAAATGGAAGACCAAAAGAAAAAGCCAAACAAGGAAACCAAAAGGTACCTGGTAAGAGAAGCCCGAAGGAAGATCCCTATTATATTACAGTACAGGACTTCCTACGCCTTCTTCGGAGGGAAGCGGGGTGAGGGTTTAACAGGGGGTTGGATCAGGTGTCCGACTTGGGAGCTTCGAAAAATGACACGCGGTGCTTCTCAGAATTTTCTTAGGAACCTTTACACTGCTGATGTAAAGCCCTTATGAGGTTGGTGACCAACCCGTGACGGAACCTTGGCAAACGTGAATGCTCCCAAAGGAGCCGAAGCGAAATTCTTGGTGTCTCAGACCCACTGCCCACAGATTTGGTGAAGACGTCCCTTGGAAAGTTTCGTCACGGTCCAAAAGGCGGACAAGATTTGTTCGGAAGAGAGGCAGCGGTTCGCTGGCGCTACTTTCTGGGCGGTGGTTCACTGCTTCACCTTGGACTCTGAAGCCCTGCGCGGCAAAAAGTCCAGGCTCAACCAGACCAAGAAAATGCCAAAGGGAAGCTCGTCTTTCTGTCCAAAGTGCAAACAAACTATGCTTTGGCCCAATGTTGGAGGCTTGTGGGACACATGGGACCCCCTTCTGTTCTACCAAAGTGGGATACCCCGCACTCAAAGAACTCATTAAAAGAACTCGTTGAAGGAAACGGCCTCTCGGGTTTTCTTGTCCCAAATGGATGTGTCATGGTTTGTCTTTGGGTTGATGCGCGTCCCCATCCTATCCTTTCCTAAACGCAATGCCATGAAGAAGCCCCCTATCGGTGTTCAATGTTTCGAGGTAAAAAAGGGGGGTATCGGTTTTGGGTGGCCCCCTATCGGTTTTGCGGGTGTTTGCCTTGCTAACCCCAATCGTCCCGAATACTACCAAAGGCTGCCGATGATTTTGTCGGATGATCACTTTGAGGGGGGCTCAAAAAGTGGCAACCAAAAGCCTCCAACAAGTTTCCACTTGCTTGCTTGGTAGGGATGACCCAAATTCCCAACCACCATTGGGTTCTGTAGGAATCTGGGAGGTGCAACTCCACAATTTCAACATGTGTCGAAATTGTGCCCAAAATTGTGGTTTTGCTTTTGGTGTTGGAATCACCCCAAAAAGGTCACCCTCAAAATACTCACATTTGTATGGGCATGTTTGTGCTTGTAGAACCTTTGGTGGACATCAGAATTTGGTGGGGATTCATGTCCAGATAGGCTTCCCTACTGAAGTTCATTAGCCATGAGAATAGTCAAAAGAGACATCGCCGTATGGTCGTGTCTCTTTTGAAAGGAAAGCCAAAAGGAATCCACCACACCGGAGCGACCGTAAAATTTGGCTCCTATGCCGCCCTTGCTGTGCAGGCAGATCAGATCCTGACGGAACGGCAAAAGAAACAAGAAGCAAAAGCGAAAATCCACCCGTTCCTTAGGAACGAGCTCGAAAGCAGCTGCTTGGGTGTATTTCAGGGACCCTGGTGAACTTTCCGCAGATTGAAAGGAAAAGCCGAGTGGGCAAAGAACACCTCAGGAAAGTCAGCTTCGCTTCTAAGCCCTGGCGAAGGCAAGGCGAAAGCATCTGGCCTTGACCGTCTCCACTCGGGGGTTGCCCAGCGCAAAGGGCGACCTCGGATGGCGTGTTCGCAACTCTCAGGGCTATTTGGGTATGTGTCAAAATAGGGATTTGAACCCCCAAAATGGCTCTTGATTCCCTAAGGTTTTGTCATTGGTTTGTTTGGAAGTTGCGAAAGGGTGACTCACTTTCAACGGAAACAATTTTGCGGCGTCCCTCTCGTTTCCCCGGGTGTTGAAAATGGTCCGAACCCCAAAGTTTGACTCGGGGTTTGCCAACTTTCAGCAGGGATCCTTACATCATACACCTGCACATTGCCTCGTAAATGGTGGCGTTCCTTTATTTTGGGGGAAAAAGCCATGTTTCAAATGGGCAAAATGTATCTTTTAAGGAGCCTGCTTTGTTGTTGCAATTGTTGTCTGATTCTGACGGCAGGAAACACTCAAGGGGAAAATAACTATGGCGGATGGACAAAATCCATTTTGCACCAGATGATCAATCAGTACTCAAGCGGGTTTCACCCATAAATGGCGTCCAATGACAACGCCTAACCAAGCGGTTGCCTTCAAAACAAAGGGGTACCTTCACTAAAAATCAGCAGTGCCACCCCTCCATACCACTCCAACCCACCAATTTAGCAGGAGCTGAAGAAAAAGCCACCTTCAAACAAAAAGGGGTGGGGGGGAGGAGCTTTCTTCCCAAAGACGCGGCGATTGGTCCCGATCCGAGTGGCCACTCAGACACCGTCGGCTCCGTGGTGCCAGGCAGGAGCCCCTGCCCCGATGTGTTGACATGCGGATGGAGGACATCCCGATGCTCGCGGCAATGGTCCGACTTTCTGGCCGATTGTTTGGTCCGACGTTCTTTTCAGTTCTCTGTGCTTCCCGCGGGCTTCTAAATCTGTTTCGTTGCTCACATCCAAGTTTGGGGCAGAAATCGTAACATGTTGGTCTAAAACGTGAGATGCGACATGAAATCAGACTCTGGTCCATGCTGATGGGCGAACTGCGCCGCTTTGAAACCGTTGTCGGTATTTACGTTGGGGAATCAAATCAGAAACCAGGGATTCTGAGGTAGTGCGAAATGGATTTCCTCCATTCACAGTATCCCATTTGAGACCAACTAACCCGTGGCTCCTTACTGGGCCTTGCCCATAGCGAGGCGGGTCATACTCCTCTTACTCGATGCTGATGGACCACAGGTGCTCAGCTTGGTGGGTTTTCTGTGGGTTCCGCGATTTGACTGCTCTGCCCGACGCGAATCTGACCTTGTGTTTCTTTTATTTTGGGTCCCCACTTTTAGTCATGGCCCCAAGGGTGATCACCTTTCATTTCTGGGTCCTTTGAGCATTTGGGACTCATTTCTACCAAACTGGGCTGCCTCTGGGTCAAGAAAGAATGACGCCTACCCCTATTGTTCCCTTCTTTGGAACCCAGAATCACCATTCGAGTGTCTCAAATAGGAGAAACCAACACAGATGGTGTCCTGTTGGTGTCCCTTGAAAAAACCAACCCAAAAAGCCGAACCCCGAAAAGAACACAACCGACATGGGCATCTTCTTCACAACCCCATCTCTTCTTGAGAAAGGGGAAAAAAAAAGGAAACAAGCTCCGGTATCCCTAAAAAGCATGCATCCAGAACTCCTGGACCCCCCCCCCCATCCAGATCAGGAACCCTCGGCACGGCCGGAACCCTCGTTGCGCCTGCGAGAGGCAGGCGCCCCCCACCGCGGTGTGCCCCGTGAGGCGCCGGAAGTCCGGCAGCGACACCTCGAAAGTTCCCTTGGGCGCCGGGTGAACACAACAAGAGCAAATTCACATTTGATAATCATAATCAAAAAATAAAAATAAAAATACAAATGAAAATAATAATGATAATAATAATACTGTTGATATTGATTGAAATGCTAATAATACTGTCATTCACGTTGTTGATAATAGTATCGCGTATGTTGAATATTGTTTGAAAAGTGTGTTTTTCCAAAATAAATCAAATTCCTGCTCCCACGGCATTCCATTGCTTACAACTTTCAGCAGGTCGCTTGGGCTGGGGCATCGGGGCAGTTGTGCCACGAACAGAAGAAGATTCGAAAGGCGGGCTCCTTTGAAGGAACGTGCCACGAAGCAACTCAAGAGTCACTAGCAAACGTGGTAGCCCAATTTCCCTGGGCAAAAAAAAGGGACTTGGTTCGTTGCCGCGCACCAATTTGGACAACCTCTTGCATAAGACTGCCAAAACTTGCTTAGATTGGACTCTGCTTGGTTGGTATTTAAAGGGAAACCAAAAGGGCACCAACCAGTGTAGGGGACCCCTTACTTTGAGAAGCACCCAGCTACGGTCTATTAGCAGGATACAAATGGGTTTTCGGTGTTCAACTCATACCAGCTCTTGGGTATAGGTTTGCTGTGTAGAGATAACCACAGCTATTCATTTGAGGCTAGCGCTTGGCAACAGTTTGAAATTAACCGACACCGCGATCAACTTGCTTAGGGCGCGCCGGAAACATAGCGAGAAGTGTTGAGCCGACCCTCTCCCCTCAAAACCGACAGGCTGGAAAAAGCAAGGCTTAAGAATGTCAGTAGGGAACCCCTTCAAAAGTGTGGTTGTGTCAACATAAATCCCCACCTAGATGGACCCTGACAACATGGTCCCCAAATTAAACTTCATACCCCTCTAAGAAACATGGCCCTTGAAAAAGACAAACTAACCAGGAAATACAAGGTCATAGTGGGTCACGCAAGCCCCGAAGTGCCTTGTTGAACGAGTGAGGCCGGCTGAAGCCCCCTGAAGCCATGGTATCCGTCCGCGTTTCGGGGGGTGCGAACAGCTGCGGCGATGCCCCCCGCCTGGCCCGTCTTGCTCTGAGCCTCGCGTGCAGGGCTGCCGGGCTGGCGACGCTCGGAGGCCGGAACATTTCGCCACAAACTGCAACACAGTCGTTGGCTGCCCCTCCCGCGCCTTGGTTTCAAGTCGTTCATCTGAAAACCAGCCCTGCCAAAACCAGTCCTGCCAAAACCAGTCACCCGCCCAAGTCTCGTTTGAATGAGCGTCTCGCAGGCGCTCAACTGGCCATCTTGGCACGGGGCCCGGGCATTGATCTTCGGCAATGCCATCGCGAGGGAAGCCCGCGCCCCGGCGCAGGGAGTTGCTCGAGCCAAGCAGAAACCGCATTGAATAGACCGGGCGTTCTTCGGGTTGCACTTCGATTCCAGACTTGGGGGGGGTCTTTTTGAGGGTACCCTTTTGGGATCGGTTTCAAGGGAAACCAAAAGGGACACCCTAAGTTTTGAGATAGTCCCAAGTGGATGATTCATGAGCTCCCAAAAGAGAGGGTTCCCTTTGAGACAAACCCAGTTCCTTCAAGAGCCGCAGCCTCACTGAGGCGAAGGCATTTCTGCACGAGCTACCAGGCAGAGGGGTTCTGCAAAAACATGCACCCTTTGGACCCAATTTGAAGTCAGTTCAGAGGCGTTCGAACTGTTCGCCCCCTAAAAAAAAACGTCATCATCATAGTAATAATAATAATAATAATAATAATAATAATAATAAGAATAATAATAACAACAACAACAACAACAACAACAACAACAACAACAACAACAACAACAACAACAACAACAACAACAACAACAACAACAACAATAATAATAATAATAATAATAATAATAATAATAATATGAACAAACAAATTTAAAAATAAAAAAAAAATGAAAGGTTTGGAAATTTTGACCATCCCCTTGATGCTTCCAAACTTTTGACCAGACCTCAAAACCGTCTGCAAGGAGCCAAAACAGCTGCAGCGAGCCGTGCGAGGAGCTCTGCCCTCCAACCCACCTACGAAGGGGGCAACCATTTGTGTCTTTGAGCCTTTCAGCAAACAAACCCAAAGGCCAAGGTCTCGATGTGTCAAAGGCGGACACCTTGAACAGCTTCCCTGGGAAAAGATCCACATCTTTGACCAACAGCGCTTCATGGCCTTGTGGTGAGACCCTCGTGACTTTGCTGGATGCTGCTGTTCCAGGGCTTTTTCCCAGTCAAGTTTCCCATTCGATGGCACCACCCTGCAAATTGGGCATGGGCTAGCAGCAGAGCTTTTTGGGGAGAAGGCAGCTTTGGGGATGTCCGTTCTGCAAACTTGCAGAGCACTGCAATGGGTCGCAAGGGGAAACCTACTTGAGCGGGACCGACATTTTTGCTCTGAATAGAATGGTGCGAAAGAAAAACACGGGTTCCGGGTTCCTACAACCCCTTCTCTAAGCCACATGAAACCACACAGAGCCAGGTGGATCCCTGTGCCTCACCAAGAGAAGGACATCCCAACTCAGATTCCCAAGGCCCATTGCCTTGAGTTTTCCTTGGGTTTCCCTTGAACCCTGAACCCCCCCCTTCCAAAAAGCAAAGCAGTGCCTCTCGCAGTTTCACCACACCAAGCCAACTCCTCGAGCTGCGCCAAAACACGGGCAAAGTGGTCCAGCTCGTTGCCGGGGATGCCCATCTGCCTAGCTGCGAGTCAGAGCTTGTGGGTGTGAATTCCGATATGTTGGGAAGGACCCAAAATGAGAATTCAGTGGAGATTGAGGTCCACACACTTTTCAGGGGGACACCCATCAAAATTGTGACTCTATGGAAAACACACTAGGCATGGGATAAACCTGGGCGCCCCCACCTTGAAACTAACCACTTGAAAGACGCCTGAAATTCGACGAAGAGGTGATATCCTCAACTAAATCTCGTGTGGGGTTGAAAATGCACCAGAAGTGCAGCCACCACTTGGATAGTGCGATTTGGGGTCATTCCAGCCACTCCCTGGCACCGAAAAAGTTAAAGGACACATCAGAGATCTCGCCGATCGAAACACCTGGGAAAAAAACAAAACAAAAAAGGCCGTCAGACGGACATATGGCATGTGCCCCAGAAACGGGCCGGTCTTTCACACCTCGGACAAAGCAGGGGCCAGGCGACCGGTTTAAAGGGTGCTAGCAAAAGGGCTCCGGAAACTCGCGCAGGACAATCATGTGCTTCACATCCGATCCAGCCCATCGGTTAGCAGCCATTCAGAAACCCATCTTCCATGGAGACGAGTCCTGAAAACGCTACCTTTCGACCTCCAACCCGTTTTTTGGCCTGGCTTTGTCCAGGTGGAAGGCGATCTTGTGGTGGTCCTGGCCCAAGCCAAGAGAGCCATAGATCATAGACTCAACATGTTGCCGCGTTTACCCCAGTGTTGAGTCCATGTTTGACGCGGGGTTAGTTCAATCCACTCGTCCGGTCAAAATATAGATACATTTACTGTCCAATCCTTGGCACGGTAGCAACAAAACCGCCGATTTTGCAGACCCCTACTATAAATGATCCGAACCCAAAACCCGAAGACATGCCACGCCAGCCGGGAAGTCGGCTGTTGGACTTGGATCTGGTGAGCTAGTCTCAGTTTGTTCCAAAAACACCAGCGCCTGGGTCCCGGCGCCAAAAAAATTGGCAGTCTTTCTTACGCAAGCCCTATGAGCAAGGCTCCTTTCATGCCGCCTTCAAACTTCACCCCGGCAAGGGAAACTCGCAGGCTCGGGTACCCGAGAGTTGGCTTGGCCTCGCCGCTTCGGGGTTTGAGCCCAAATTCATTTCGAAGCCAAAATTCTACCCAAAATGGCCCCTTGGCAAAAAGAACCAAACGCTGAAACCTGCGTAACCCCAGCTCTTCAGTTTCAGACCCACACCCAAGTGCGGAAAATGGCGTCAACCAACCAAACCAATCCAAGCCAGAAGCTCGGGGCCTGACGCCAACAGTCGCAAGCCCGGTCCTTCTTCAAGCACCACTGCTGCAGCCGCTGCTTCATCGCCTCCTCGCATCCGATCCCCCGGCTCTCTCAGCGGAAACACCTCTCCCAGGCGACCCCGAAGGACCATCCCGAGTGCTGTCAGCACACGACCTCCTCTCTTTGGAAGGCTTTGCGCGCTGCTCTCTCAACATAGGTAACTCTTCACACAGCTTCTCTATAGGTCCATGGCAAGATATTTCTTGACAGGAAGGTGCTCGCAAGGCCCTGTAAAAGATCTCCTTGCAGGATCTCCAACAAGGATCTCTGGCGGGCTATCCGGCTATCCTCGACAAGATTTGTTATCAAGAGCTCTATCCATACAAAGTTCCTGGTAATTATTTCTTATCCAAGGTCTCTTGCTGAGATTCTGTACAACGTTAGATAGAATTGTTTAAAAGGTCAAGCCCAAAATGTGTTGAGGCAATCTTTACGTAACGTCCTGAAAGAGATGCTGCCGCAAAGTTCTGTACAGAAGCTTCTGTGCAAGGTCTTGTTGCAATGCAAATCCGTTTGAGGATCTTGACCGGATCTCTGGTAATTAAGACGTCTTCGCATTATCTTTGTGAGATGTCCGTGCAACACCTCTTTGCAGGATCGTGTACAGATCGCTGCGCAAGATGTTCTTGATTGTGTTTCTTGGTATTCATTACTTTGTTGATTGCCATGTTCTGGGTTGTCACGTTTTCCCGGTTGTTATTTTCATGGTTGTCATACGATTGGGCATTGTTTTCTCGGTCATTGCTTGCTTGATTCTTGTTTGCCTGCATAAGATCAGCTGCACCAGAGTCCCACACGACTCCGCCCCTGTTTTTGAACAAGCCGAAAAGCTTGCAGAGTCCGCGGGGCCCTGCCTGATACTCCGTGAGTCGCTTTCTGGCCGGCAGCAAGCTCAAAGAATCTGGGCACACTCTCTCGACCTCGGCTATCGAAGCGGAAGACCCATGGTGGGTCTTCACCCGCCTTTCTGGAGAACGGTTTGGAGTTGTGCGAATCTGTGGATCAACCGATATCAAACGAGTACAAAAAGAGTACGAAAAAAGAACCTACAGGGGGATGAACAGGCGAAATCCACAAAACGCGCAACCAAACCGTTTTCTAGAGCATTATATCTGCCTGGTGACCAAATGCTTTTGGTAGGCGCCACAACAATTCGCCACACCCCATATAACCATTTAGGAGAGTTCTAATTCGCTAAATGGAACCCGTGCAGCGATTCTGCAATTCTTGAAGGGTAGAACCCCTCCAAATCCCGTTTCAGCACGGCTCACCTGTGAATCTCCAATGCTATACCCGCACTTCCCTTGGGGTGGTTTGGTCTATGTACCCTTTACACGGTGGGGCCTGCATATCCCACTAGGGGTCTCTCTGGGGGAGCGGCTTGAGGAAAGAGTCTTAGACAGAATGATCCAACCATGCCAACCCCGGCAGCCCCCCCCCCCCACCACCGACTCCACCTCTTCGATGACCTGGCGCAGGATAACCTGAGCGGAGGGCAGAAGAAGAATTGGTATGAACAGTCTGGTGGTGAACTGATCGCCCCTCTACAACATGTGCTTAACTGGTTGCTGTTAGCTTCAAAAGTCAAGTAGTTTTCTATAAAAAAAAATAGGCTCGGGTGATATCCCCAACAGCATGCGGTGGATTCCTGGTGGAACCCTCGTGGAACCTTACCTCAGAGCCGCCCCGGACCACCCCGGAGCCTATCTGGGCTGAGACCCCAAAGCTTTCAGCTGTTGGGGGGGGGGGAGGAAAAAACACAAATTGCAAAAACACAGGCACACACACACACACAAAAAAAAAACAAGTTGCAAAGTCTAAGGATCCCACCAAAATAGCCGCTGGGAAAAGCCGCCCTTTGGTCCGATGCCCATAGGCTACAGAAAGGTGCTGCCAGCCATCACTTCTCAGAAAACCCCAACCAGATGGCCGACCCAAACGACGCATGGCGCTTCAAAAACACGGGGGCCGGGCCCCCCCTCGTTTTTGTTGACCCCCCACCAGTTGCTCTTTCGGCCCGAAAACCGCAAGGTAAAATGGAGGTCGAAAAAAGAAAAACAAGTTTGGGATGGGAAAACTGGGTCTCACTCAAAAGGCACTCACGTTTTGGCAGCCAAAAGAAACTCACGCTTCATGAATCTGGCCTGCCCAAAGAAGCAAACAACCAAACCCACTCTTCAAGTACAGACCAAACCACGCCTACAATGGGGCATGGGGGAATATGGACACCCCTCTTTTGATTTGGGTGTCCTCAAATCCCACTAAATAGGATTGTCAATTTTACAAGGCCATGTCGTATTCACACTTGGCCATGAGTTTTAGTCAGGGGGAACCGCCTCAAAAGT